TAGTCGAAAAATTACGTAGATGTGATTAAGATATATATTATGAGAGAAGATGAATACAAATTCATTCATACTAAAGCCCATAAATTTAAATTAGATTTATTTTTTAGAATGAAAATATTATTTTAGAGAATCATATTTATTACAATTTATGACAATATTTTTCGGCGTGAAAAGTATTAAAAGTGGATCAAGAAAACTCCTTGGAAAGTGAAGACTATTCACATTTCACAGAATTGGCTAATAAGAAATTAATATATTCAAAGGTCATAAGAATATTTTACTCGTTAGAAAAATATAGCTTGTATTCTTCTTAGAAATCATGAAGTATTAGTTTATGTAACTAAAACTTTATAATATTTTAATAGTTAAAAGGAAACTAAATGAAAATATATATGATGTGGACAGCACATGGCTCCCTTATACGGTCTATTAAATTATACACATTTTTTTTTTTTTTTTTGCTGCACATCATTTAATCTTTTTTATTCGAATTATTTTAAGTTAATTTACAGATAACTTTAATTTACAGATTATATATTTAAACTTTAATTTACAGATCCCTGAAGATAAGTTGAAAATGACATTTTAAGGTATTTCTCCCGCCTTCTTAGCATATCTTCGTGGTGTAATGGTCAGCACGCTCGACGCATATTCGAGAGGTCAGAGGTTCGAGTCCCGGCGAGGGCACTGCTCATTTTTCATCACTTCTACTTTCAAAAAATACCTAATGACTCTGCAGTCGCGCCCGAACTAAAAGGTGGTGAATTCCGATTCTTCACCACCAGGATTTGGCGATTAGGAACTCTAATCTCCAGTCGTCTTTTAAAAAGGGGGTGCATATAAGGTATTTCTCCCGCCTTCTTAACATGCCTTCGAGATGTAGTGGTCAGCACGCTCGCCGCGTATTCGAGAGATCCGAGGATTGAGTCCCGGTAAAGGCATTCCTCATTTTTCATCTCTCCTGCTTCGAAATAACCTAATATGTCTACAACATCAATAATTGCAAATTTTGAAATTAAGTATCCTGGACATTTTTTGTTGAACGGGAATGATACTTTTTTATAATTTTATTTTTTCATAGCGAATATAAAACTTTCCCAACTATAAGTATAGGAATCAGCAAAAACAGCATTAAAATTTAGATTTCGTTATTTGTTGAAAATTAATATAAATTTGACATTGCCGAAACATGAATATTTGGGTCATGGCCGATTGCAATAAAAAAAGCAGCTGCAAAGTTAGATGTTGTAGCAGTCCCTATATGCAAAATTTCGACGTTCTACGGCTGATCGTTTTTGAATCATCACGCGAGAAACATACATGTAAAAACGTCACGAAGAAGTCCTTTTGGAATCTATTTTATAATATGTTTTGGAAAAAACAGTTCTTTATTCTATCCGTAAGTACAGATGCCACGCAAAAAAAATTGCCCAAATGGCTTCGGAAAAGACCAAAGTGAATATTTTCTTTGAAATATGATACCAAAAATTTTTCCCGATTTCAGTATTTCCTTTACTTCGTGCAAGGAAATAAAAATGCAACCTAAGTTCATATTAAATAAATAGGAAAGAGAAACAGTTCACTATTATTCCGGGCAATATTATTCACAAATAATAAGAAAATCTACATAAAATCCAATGTAAATTAAAGCATGTAAATGACATTGGAAAATACTTATTAATTGTAAATCTCACAAAGAACTAATTCAGAACTGCAACTAGTGTCTGTCAGTAAATGTACGCATTTTTACGGCAATATTTTTGAGGGACATATATTTATTGCTTGGTAATTATCACTTTAATTTTATCCAGGGTTTTTATTCTTGGGAATTTTACTCTTGTCTCTTCGAATAAGAGAATCATCCTTCGTATAAACTATTGTATTCTGTTCTGCTTAAAATACATCTCGTATAAAAATGCCATTGAAGGGAAAGCTGATGATTCTGCACACTCAGTAGCTACATACATCCTAGTCCGTCCTTTTCATACATTTTTAAATCAGGAGAGTCTAACACCTGTATTTCTTCTTTGCTAAAACGTGATTAGACGAGAACTTCGTTCATAAAGTTCTCTTCTAGTCACGTCGTGAACAGAAAGAGAAACACGCCTAAATGAAACATAAAATTAGCAAAGCAACAACCTTGTCTTTGGTATAGGTTTATTCAAGATCTCAATCGATGTCGAGGGCAAACAGGTGTAGGTCCCTCTTCACCAGGATTTATACATTTCTTTGCTCCTGATGAAGAGGAACCTACACCTAACTGCCCTATAAATTGTTTGAGATCTTGATTAAATCTACGCGAAAAATAAGATTGTTGCTTTGTTAATTTTATATTCTCTTTTGGTCAATTTGTAGCATATTTTACAAATTACGGTGTCAAAAGAAAAAAGGCCCCATACTTCTGAAACTTATATAAATTGGTGCAATTTCATCAAACTTGTAATAAAAAAGCCCAAACTCATATCTAAATTTAACTCTAGAAATAAAATTAACGTTCTTCTTATAACCGCATTAGAATTTTTCAAATTATTTTTTTTCCAATTTCGAAGATATTTTTATTAAATGAAAAAGTTTTAGATTTCCACGAATGAGTAAACGATGCAATTTTCAAAACTCAAGATATTTATAGTATTAAAATCTGTGATTTTTAAATAATACAGAAATATCTCCAAAAATGAATCTCATACCCATTAAAATACAGTTTTATTTAGTAAAACGCTTTGAAATATTTTACGGCAGAAAATAACTATAAGATTATGAGTTCATGTAAACCACTGTTACCTTATTATTCACGTAAAATAAAATTCTAAAAATCATCTGCAATTCTAAATTTTTGCATAGCTACAAACTAAAAACCGTTTGACACTTTCAAATCACTGTAAAAGACGCTATTAATGAGCGTACCTAAACTGTAAGAGCTTCCAATAACTATCTGGCTTCGTGATGAAGAAAATCAAGTGAATGGAATCGATTTAAGGAAAGATATATATTTACCTAAGATAAAATAAATATGGTCATTAGAAGTTCTGTGGCCAAAACAGACATATAAAAAATTAGAATATGAATTTATTCAAAACATATACTAGTGCAGATTGATAGATCTGTTTGGAAATTTTCTAAGAACTATTATACGTATAGTTGAGCCATTTCACTTTCATTTAAGCAATTCGTGAGTGACAGAAACACTGTAATAATGCGAGTAGTCATTACTTTGGCTTTCGAGAGAGCATTTGCCCAATAAGGTTATATTCTCAGACATATAGTATAGGAAAAAATTCAAGATTGCAGCCCACAAGAGTTAAGTCTGGTTCAAATCTCGGCAGCGAATTGGCTGCACGGGTTTTTTTTTGTGTTTTCCCATTTGTAACGTAAATAAAGCAGTTTCTCTTAAAACGCTCTCTGGGAAGGCATCCCTGTCCTCAGAAGATGACCTTAGAATGTTTTGCTTTCAATGCAACAATCAGCTATCTCAGACCTGTTCTTTTCTTTATTAACTGTATTTATTTATTATGTTCTTTTCTTTACGTCTTTATTAACAGCTTGTCAAATTTCTCCTATAACCCGCTAACATACGTCGATGTAGATAGCCAAACTAACGACTGACTTAGCTCCCTGTAAAATCTTCCAGTGACTGTTGATTTCGATTATTGGGAAATTAAAATGTGCACTCATATGCAGTGAATTACTTATATCGCAGACAAGAATTGGTTCTAGCCTTGTGACGGTTTTCTGTCTCATGAAGAAAAAAGTTTGTATAGAATTTATATCTTTTTAGATCAATTCTTTTTTATTTATCGCAAGTCTGGTGTGTTTACTCACGCTAAGCTTGGATATTTATTGAACGCAAATCTGGGGTACAGTCTCGGGGAATAATCTGAGAAATCTCAAGCTTCGTCTTGACTGCTAAAAAAATATGGTATACTATTCAAAATCAAATACTACAGTTTGAATGAATCATTCAGCTTACTTGCTATCGTAGTCGAAAAGGTTTGAGCACTGAACCTGTGAGCAGTAGTATTATTTGTAAAGTGTACTATTTGCACATGGCCTGTAGTACAATATGTACACAGAGCAAAAAAAATCATACATAGAAAATTTTACAAAAAAAAAAAAAAAAAAAAAAAAAACTGAAAGGTTTCAGATTTTAAATTACGTCCAAAGGGGCGTTTTTTTAATGTTTTGTGTGTTGTCTTTATTTATTAAATATCATGTTCTTTGGTCTTAAACCATAAAATTCAGTTCAATAGCAATGTCGCAAAATACTTTTAAAATGAGCCTATCTTTAGAATTTCCGATGCACAGTTCCGCGCGCTGGAGATTAAAATGTTTTTGTTTTCTTCCGTAGAGTGTTGCCATTGCTCGCTTTGAAATCCTTGAGTTTGTTACTCAAAAATTTGTTAAAAGTTTTACAAAATATGAAATCGATCATAAAACAAATTCCAAATTTCAAATTGGGTCTTTCACATCCCCATATTCGTAGGAGGATTACGTCATTCAAAATTCGATGGCTCTATGTACCGTTGTTTATCCCAATGCGAGAAATAGACATACATTTATGCATATTTTTCATTATTTAATTTCTTCAAGTATAATGCAGGACTCTAACATTGGGTGGCAACAGTTTGAAAAGTGAAACGGACATTTATAGCGATTCAACGGAAAACCGCAAAACGAAAACAATAGTCCTTCAGGGTCCCCTTTGGACTAAAAAAAAGGGACAGTTCTCTACCTCCCGTTCTACTGGGCCGATTAACGAAATTCAACTTGCGTTTCTCATGTCTCGAAAGCGCGACTTAGGATATGTATTACATTTATATAGAGAGTTTTTCTAATATGGGTATTTTGATACAAAAATCGGACTTTTTCTGAAATGACATGCCAATGTTTTTCCAGATTTCGATTCTACGACTCAAATTATACGAAACTGACAAGTTTTGTAAAACTCAAATATTCGATATGAAAAAAATCCAGAAATTCTGAATCATATCATTTAAGATTACCTTTTTTTGTCAAGGCTTCGATGTGGGCATTCGCAGGACTGTGCGTCTTTATATTCGGCTCTGAACTTTTCACACTGGCATGAAAACCAGAATCGTCGGCGTGGTATTCGACGACTCTGGAAACACCTCTGGGACTAGCAATGCTATAGGAACCTTTGACTCGTCCTTGAGCATCTCCAACCTCCTCTTGGGTGACTTTTGTGCCATAAGCTGCTCCTGTCTTTACGTTGAAAGAGTAGGGAGAGGGTACGATCTCATCCTGCGAAAAATAATTAGAAATATACTTCAGACACTTCAATCGCATATGTGAGTTTATTATTTTCAACCTAATAAATGCGTAAAAAGTATTCAAACAATGGTTCTTAAATAAATATCAGTGCATTAATTTAATAAAACTATAAAGTTCAACACAAGAATTAAATGCATTCGAACTTCGAATACTCCATTAAATTGCGGGTGGAAACCAATATTACAAACCACGAAACGATATGCCATTTGAATCATTTAATTAGAAATAACTGATGTTGCTCTTACCCTTCATCGATAAATGTTATTTAAATCTATTTTCGAGTAGAAAATGTCCTCGCTCTGATATATCTTCGATAAAGGGTTAAATTTTGCCACACATTGTTTGTTTGTTTTTCACATTCATTATATTATTACTTTAAAAATAATAACATGGTGATAATATTGGGTGGTAACATCTTTTCATTTGTGTTGCCATACGGTTTTTTTTAAAATATTCGCTATATTATTTCTTTAAACGTAATACATAGTGATAACATCAGCGGCAACAGTTGAAAAGTGATACTAACAAAAAGGAAACTCAAGACAAATAGCTCCACTGCGGGTAATAAAATATAAAGGCATTTATTTGTCATTTTTGGAAACGTTAATTATGCCAACATAAATAATTATTATAAGCAAACATTTATGTTATTCTGAAAAAACAAATTGGAATGTTTTCGTCAGAAATCATTATTATGATTTGCTTTTGATATGATGTGTAAAGCTTTAGACAAAATGTCTATATTTAAGTTTTTCCCCCTTGCGGTGGGCATTTATAGGCGTTGACCTCTACTAAAGGCGCAAGCGATAGTCTCTTTATTATGGAAGCACTTAACAGGTGCGCCAATGTTGCCTCCTATGAAGAGACGGACAAATTACGTCCATGCCTTATCCGGGATTCGAGCCCGGGCCCTTTGGTACGGCAGTTAGAATTACTAACCACTTTCCTGTTTGGGCGGCAACTGTATTTAAGCGATAATATTCAAATAATCAACAGAAATTTTATTTATAATTAACCTAATAAAAGATTAATTTAATTATGTACTGTTTTATAAAGGTGCTTTTTCGAATATTCAATCGAATGGAGTCCATTTCATAACCAGATATGTCATAGTAAAAGCATCATTTCATAATATATCTGTTTGAAGCAACCAAAACATTGGCTAGGGATGTTAAATAAGTTAGCTGCTATAGAAAAGAGGGCTGCTCTTGAGCAACTGAGATATTTAACATACAAAACCCCCTCAGGTGAATTAAAATAAAAATGGATTAAATACTTTTACGCATTAGAAAGTGATCTTTTATTTCTGAAGTGATACGTAGGAAATGTCAGTTAGTACTGAGAGCACAATCTTTCTGAGAATCACAGTCTTTGAGAATATCTGAGAATCAGAGAAGAATGCTAGCATTTGCCAGTTTTAGAGTAGTTGGAAAGAATACTTTACAAAACTGTGCATCCAAAGCAGATATTAACTACCTTCTAGGACTTAGACGCTCGTATCGCCTTATATATCGCCTTATATTTAAAGAAACTAAATAATGAAGAAAAGATTCAGAATCAGATTATTTATTTATTTTATTTTATTTCATTTTAGTTTAGAAACTTGAAACATGGTTGGGAGAGTTCCAAAAATATTATCACACTTATTTAAGTGTTCTCTGTACGGCAAATGTATTTCGCGTTCGTTTAATTTTGTCTGCGAATTTGAAAGCAGAGTTTTAAGTTCATTTATGTCTTTTAACCAAATATAAGCTAGATTATTGGATCTTTTATTAACAGCAATAGACTGCCGGCTTAGTAAAATTAAAATTTTAATTGAAATATATAAATTAAATTAAATTAGGTATCTGGAATTTTAAATCTTAATTTTGATTTTAAAACTAAGATAAATCATATAAAAAATTAGGAAACAATTTCCGAAATCTAGAGCATTCACATTCTTGTGGCTTTGGCGGGAACTCCTATCTGTTAGAAAAACCATTTTTACATTAGGGGAGTATTGTAACGGTAGGAATGTCAGGCATTTTTCCATTTGTGGTTTTGGGTGTACCGCTGTGTAGGAATATTTTGGGTTTTCGAAAGCTTTGATTTTTTTTTTTTTTTTTTTTTTTTTTTTTTTTTGGTACTAATAACACGCTTTTAAATTCCGAGAGACAAATAAGTCGTTGACTTAAGTAGGAAATAGAAAACAATTAGTAAAGTTAAGTGTTCCTAATAAATGATGGATGAAATTTTATTATATGAATCATATAATTTGTTCTTAATTTCAAAATAAGGTAATTAGACAACATCAGTAAAATAGTAAGTACATTAAAACACGAAAATTAAAATCATATCTGAAATGTTTCACAGCATAACAACATAATTCAATTTTAGTGAAACTTGATGAATAAATACGTAGTATTATAAATTCATACCTACTCCAAAAAACCTGTCTTCCTACTTAAATATCTCCTCTAAATACGTTAACACTTCTATGAATAAATAGTCAAAAGTCCAAGAAATGCAGGCGGCTGTCATGTGACCGTTACTTTTTTTTATTGGTAATTTAACACAAACATATCTTTTAATGACAGTACTTAATGTTCGTTTGGCTTAAACCTAGTGAAACATTCTAAGATGGAATTATTAAGTGCTCTTTAAGGAAAAAAATTATCCGTTAATGTGTATCATTTAAAAGAAAATTTCATGTTCTTTGATGTATAAAACGGGCAACGGTTTTGCTAATTAGAAATACCATGATTGAAAACAGTGAAAATAAAACTTCGTGCCAAAAATTTTCTTATTGCTTTTCCTTTTGCAAGAATGTAAGAAATCAAAAGAATTCTAGCATTCCTTACACTTAACCATGACAGTTTAAAAATGGGGTTCCTTCCATTCCTATATTTGAAGTAAAGTTTCTTTAAGAAAATAGTTTTAATGGCAACGTATTGAGGGTGCAATACTCACCCTTTATATATATTTAAGAGAATTATGCTTAAATCCACTATTAAAATTAATTTCATTTTTTTCAACACTTATGCTGACGCCTTCTGACTTTTTCAATCAAGTATGTAATTATCAATTTAATTTTGCTAATAGCATTTAACATTCTTTGCTATTTTTAACCAACTTAATATTACTTCTCAAGGAATATAAACTAAACCTGAAAGCTTTTAATGTTATCTGAAATTGGTTCTTCATTAAATATGATAATTTGTTAACGAATATTGAGCACACTTGTCGTGTTCAAAACTAAGGCATTTTAAATGTATCAGTTTACTAAACATTAATAAGAAATAAAAATTAAAATTTTAAGAAGTACTCTATTATATGTATTATACAAAACCATCAAAATTAATGGCATTCGATTGTTTGGAGACATATCTTTCTTTATAGAGCCATCAAATTTTATATAACATAGTCCTCCACTCGAACATAGGCACATGGAAGCCCGATTTTTGAATTTCGTATTTGTTTTATTATGTACTTCATATTTTGTAAACCTTTTAACGAATTTTTGATTAACAAACTCAAAGATTTCAAAGCGAGCAATGGCAACACTGTACGAAAAAAAAAAAAAAAAAAAAAAAAAAAAACATTTTTATCTGTGGCGCGAGAAGAGAAATTCTAAATATATGCTGTTTTTAAATATTTTGCGATTTTACTGTTGAATCGAATTTTATGTGGCGTAATTGAACATTGATTACGAAGAAGTGAGACAAGACAAAAAAAATATAAATAAAAACAGAAAAAGGTATGCAAAGACTTAACGCTGCATCGGGAATTCTAAACGTATATTGCTTTGTGGCTTTTAAATTACTTTGTAATTTTGCTGTTCAATTGTATTTGGTGTAAGTGCGAAGGAAATGATGCTTAATCAAAGCTAAAAAGACAAAAAAAGTATGGGTTAGTTTTTTTCAATAATAATTTTAGAGTTTCTGTTTGCGGGTTATAAAGGTAAACGAAAATTGCTTTAAATGCATAATATGGATAATGTGACAGGAACATGGATAATGTTGAAGAAAAATTAGAGCTTTTTACCAGCTTCAGGAAACTGTCCATTATGAAAAAAAAAAAAAAAAAAAAAAGGTTTCATTTTATCCAGAGATATCTGCTTCCCAATAAAAACACTACTCATAGTTTATGGCCTTGACACCTTTCCGTAAATTATTTCTTCTTCAACTTTTATGACCACTCATTTAAACATCCTGGACTACTTTAAATGCAGGACTTAAGTCCGAATAGCGTAATGACTGTAAGGCTTAATCTAATTTTCGTTTCTAATTTATATGCTGCACATTTTGGCAAGCATTTTACTTCTATTTATCCATTGCATAAATACATTTAAATTAATTTAATGAATTTTGAAAACTGCATACTCTAATTCAACGATTCTCAACCGGTGGTACGCAAGAGAAAAATAGGTGGTACGCAAAGTATTTTTAACTACTAAATTCAAAATTCCTGTGAAGGAAAAGAACAATTGATAGACATTTCGGTACTCTTCTGTTTTGAGGGCCGTAAAAGAATTGCAGCGAAAATGTATGCGCGAAAGCGCCAAATCTAGCAAACGCGCCCATTTAATAGCGCGCCAAATCTAGCGTACGCACTGGTTTCAGATTGCGTAAGTTTATATAGTTCTATATTTCTTAAGACGCCATTGAAATACTAATTTAATTTTTAAATCCTTTTTTGATATCCTATGGATTTAACAATTTGGGAATTGCCCATGATGAAAAGTCGGAAGTGAGTAAATTGCAGAATCACTCACTGCTTGACGCGTTTTTAAGAATTGCACATACTCGGTATCCATGTGCACATCGACCTATTTTCACGTTAAAAAAAAATCCCAGAATTGCACAAAAATGGCACTGCGCACCCGCTTGACTTTATCTATGTACTCATCGACCTATTTTCATTTAAAAAGTAAAATAAAATTGACAAAAATCATCCAATTGTTTTTACCCTTGTAAAAAGCGGCAAACAAA